CAAGTGCTTTTGTGAGACTAAGTATATTATATGTATGCTTTCTTTGTGAATAAACTTATTATTATTATTATTATTATTATTATTAATACGACCCCCGCCAAAATATTACGTCCGGGAGACGCCGCATTCTCAACTAATGCCGATAATAAAAATGCGACCCGCCGCGAGCCGCTTCTTCTTAGCGGGCGGCCAGCGGGTTTCCGATCGCTAAAGCAACATCTGGCCGTGACGTCAGCATACAGTTCTCTTTTTTTCCTCCGGTCTGGGCGTTGCGCGGAGTGCGCTTCTTTGAGCCGCTACCACCGCTACTTCGGCTTGTGATTGGCGTCTTTAGCCGTTGCTTTTATCTGTTGCCCGTGTAGCTTCGGTATAGCCTTTTGTTTATTTGCTTGTGAGGACTCCAAGACTCGTTTTAGCGAGCAACTCGGTGCGCCCAAAACTGCCCAGCTGTTCCTCCAAAGACGCCGAGTACAACTTGTAGCCCTGTGGGCTGCTGAAACAACCCGCTGCGCAACCAGGAAGTGGTTTTTCACAAGTTTCCAACAGACCGGAAATTGGATACGTGTGGGTGAACGATATTCGACGAGTGGACTTTGCACTTCGACTTTTGCGCGCCCGAAAAAACAAGAACGAAAAAAAAAAAAAAAAACAGACGTGTACAACCCAGCACACGTGTGTTCGGGCGCCGCGGCTCACGCCGGAAAGCCTCAAAGCTCCGTGTCTGGGACTTATCCGCAGCGCGAAACCGAGAAAGCCCCCGTTACTGTACGGCACTGGCAGCGCGGCGTACAACAACGCCGCTCCATACACGGAGCCCCGATGACAATTTAGGCCTAGTGACGAGTACGGAAGACTACACGCGCGGCGACAGCCGCCGAAAAGGGCAACGAATGAGCTCACTCGTTTTCCAGTCGCTAGCTTTTGGGTATACAAGCGACGAGTACGGCATGGCGCACGCACGGCGGCGGCCGCCGAGTACGGCACCTAGTGAGTTCACGGGTTTTCCAGTCGCTAGCTTTTGGGTATACGCACTAACTCTTGGTGCATATGCGGGATAACTACCACGAATACTGAATTAAAACAAAATCAGCTTACCTCCTATCTTTAGACGGCTAGCGCACGAGAAGTAGGTGGCGCTCGGCCTGTGTACTCGTTGAACGAGGACGATCCTGACGTCACGTTCACACAGCGGCTGATTTCCAGTGTTGCCGGGGCCTCGAACGGCTGGTTTTCGTTTTGTGGGCCGCGCCCCAAACAAAACTTTGAGGCGTCGATATCTTTAAAACTACGCACAATAACGAGAAAAACAATTACTACTTAGAATTCAGGGACGCCGACTTCACTAAAAACAGTCATAATCTCAAAATCAAAAGTATGGACCGGAGTTGCCCTTTATATAGTGAGAAAGGTTTTTTTCTATTGTTCCTTATTAAAAAAAAAAGCAAGAATTTTTTTTTTTAGCAAAACCCTCAGACCGAGGTGCGCGGGCGGATAAGCCCGCACATTTCCCGCAAAAAAGTAGCGGAAAATTTGACGACACGTGACCCGTACACCTATTCAGCCTTCACGCTAAACATTGTGAGGAAATTGATGTCACCAGACGTCCAGCTTCGGCTCTAAATATAGCGGGACAATTCATGTCACGTGACCTATACACATTTTATGCAGTCTTCACGCGAAAGTTTGTGAAAAAGTTGATGTCTTAAGGCTTTCAGCGTTTTCTCTAAATATAGCGGGAATTTTGACGTAACCTGGCCTATACACCAAATCATTTTCGCCGTTAAATTTAAAAGAAAAATGGAATATGTCACGTGACGTCACGTCACGTGGCATATAGGTCAGTCTAGTTTTTCCGCTAAATTAAGCCGGCAAATCGACGTCACGTTACCTGTGCGCCAAGTCAGTTTCCTCTCTAACTTTGGCAGAGCAAATTATATATATATAAAAAATGAAAGATATTTACAACTCTCTGTAATGCCGAATTAGAGCGCAGCTCTTGAGGAGGAGGAGGAAGGGGTAGGAAGGGGAGGGTACGCCCCTCCTCCTCATCCGTACCCTCTCCTCCTCTCCTCTTCTCATCCCGTGCTCCTCCTCCTCCCCTTCTTTCCTCCACCTCCTCTTTTGAGGTATTTCGGTTTTGCGATATACCGTGCTAAACAAACCAAGAAGATGTATATATATATATATAGAGAGAGAGAGAGAAGGAAAGAACCCTTAGTGAAAACAGCAACAATGGACGATTTAATCTTCGACGTTTCGGCCGGAGTCCGGTCTTCGTCAGGAAGAACTTTTACAGATGAACGCGGCTGGTATTTATACAGTGCTACGGTCGAGTCCAAATTTCGGCGGGGTGACGGTTGGAGCTTTCGTGAGAGAGAAGCCTAGGGCAGTTCTTATCCGGGTGAAGGAGCTTGACGGTCGGGGCCAAGTTTCAAGGACGGCGGGTGACGGTTTTAGCTTCTTGAGGGGGCGCAGGGTCACTTTTTGTCCGGGCGGGCAGGGGTGACCTGGACGATAGCGTACAATAGATGAAAGTTACACGCGCAAACTAAAATGCTGTCTCCAAAAAAAAAAAAAAACACGGCATGGTCATTTGTAGTTTGCGCGTGTAACTTTCATCTATTGTACGCTATCGTTCAGGTCACCCGTGCCCGCCCGGACAGAAAGTGACTCTGCGCAACCTCTTAAGAAGCTACAACCGTCACCCCGCCGTCCTTGAAACTTGGCCCCGACCGTCAAGCTTCTTCACCCGGATAAGAACTGCCCTATGCTTCTCTCTCACGAAAGCTCCCAACCGTCACCCCGCCGAAATTTGGACTCGACCGTAGCATTGTATAAATACCTCCCGCGTTCATCTGTAAAAATTCTTCCTGACGAAGGCCGGACTCCGGCCGAAATGTCGAAGATTAAATCGTCCGTTGTTGCTGTTTTCACTAAGGGTTCTTTTCTTCTTCTATACCCACGCCTTCGGCCCCCCGCCACCATGCCCGTTATATATATATATATATATATATATATATATATATATATATATATATATATATATATATATATATATATATATATATATATATATATATATATATATATATATATATTGACAAGTGAGCCGTCGTAATATTGTGAACTAAATTCAATAATAACCTTCTGCCCTCTACGTCCACAATATTACTACCGCTGCACTTGTAAATTTTCACTCATTTCCATTATATATACGGTGCAGCCTGTCCCTTTGTAGGGGTTCTTCCCGAGATATCTTGCAAGACGGGCCCTTTCCGCCATTTGCAAGCTGAAATTACGTGCCACGTCACTGCCGCAATTTGAAAATAGCACGGGGCTTAAATCAGCAACGGCTGTCGGCTACCCAGCTAAGCGAACTCGGAACTAACAGTACACAGAGAGCTGGTCAAAAATTGAGTCCGCCGAAACAAGAAGCCGGGCGGGTGTAATCGCTCAAAGCGGCGCCCCGGACGGCGAAGTTTGCGGGCTCAATTCCCGCTCCTAGCCCAATTTTTCGACAGTTCTCGTTCCCTTTCCATTTCCCTAACTTTAATGGAATAAATTAAACAATCACCTTCTCTCCACTTCGTTCACTATATATGTATTGACATGTGCAGCCAGTAATATTGTGAACTAAGTTCAAGAATAACCTTTTGCTCTCTTCGTTCACAATATTACTACGGCTGCTCTTGTCCATCTTCACTCATTCCCATTATATATAAATATGTATAACGGGCATGGTGGCGGGGGGACGAAGGCGTGGGTTTAAGACTCTTAGCGAAAACAGCGGGCCGAAACGTGTGTGTATATATATATATATATATATATATATATATATATATATATATATATATATAGATATATAGATATATATACATATTCTGGTATTCCTGCTCACCGCTCGGCCGGAGAAAGGAAATATAGTTCTCACGTCTGGTAGCACCACTCTCTCTAAGTTCTGGCGGTACCACGAAACAAGACAGCAGGAGCAAGGCGGGAGAACGAAACAGCGTTGAAGTCAACACTTTGGCGACGCACGTGATAATCTCGATGTCATCCTACTTGCTGTCGGCTTTGTCGAAGACTGCTCGGCGGTTTTGATTTCCTCAGCATTAGTCTTGAACGTGCTCCCCCGAGATGGCACAGGAGAACAGCGAGTGCACGTCCCTAGGGCCCAATGGGATATTTTCCTGCATGACAGGTATGAAGTTCTTCTTTGTCTGGCACGAAATATTTGGTGAGTGCCGTAGGCGAGAGATACAGAGCTACCACGAGCAAGCCGTTGTCGACCTTGGCGGCACACAATTTACCAACTTCGTCTGACGTGCCACAGAGTTCGATGGGTACAGACCCGTAATCACATAGAGGGCAACTTGGATAACGAGTACGCCACGTTTTCATAGGTGCCTCTCTGTGACTTATCAATGGTGATATCACTTGCCTGCAGAAGGGCAGCTGGCACCTCCCCTCTTCCTCCTCCTCCTACTCCTCCTCCTCCTCCACTCCCCCACCTCCTCCCCTCCTCCCTCCTCGTCTTCCCTCCTCCTTTTCCATCCTCCTCTTCGTCCCTCCTCCTCCCTCCTCCTCTCCTCCTCCCCCTCCTCCCCCTCCTCCCCCTCCCTCCTCCTCCTCCTCCTTCATAACAACCTCAATAACGTCTGCAATTTCTCGGCGGAAAGCTGCTTCAAATTAGTTATTGCAAGAGACTTAATAAGCACCTGGACCGGGAAAATTCCACATTGCATTTCATGGGTTTCTTTGAAGGGCATTTTCGAAAAACAAAATGTAGTTTTTCAGACAGTGATGATCAAACAGCAGCGCAGAGCTCAAGGATTGCAGGCTGATACTAATAAAATAAATAAGTAATAAAAACTTTCGAGTAGCTTCAAAGTTCAGGAGGATAAAACCCAGCGCACCTGCAGCTTTAAAGGTTATATTACGGAACATAGCATAAATATGTTTCACACATCCGCAGTCGTGAGTCGTTCTCAACTATCATCGCAGATTATCTAAGAGCCATGAAAGTGGATAGCAGAATATTGATCCTTGCCTCAACAATCCTTTTGGTCGTTTGTGGTATGTAAAATATCACTTAACTCGTGTAAACAAAAACTTCAGTGCTCTTGCCTTGAAAGTACTAAAATGCTTTGCAATTGATATTTGCTTTTTGAAATTTCATAAAGTGTTTCATCTCCCCGGTAATCTTAAATCTGGTATTAAGACTGCTTCTATTATTTTCTGGAAAGGAAAAAATGAAGAATAAAGTGTGCTATAATTACAATAGTGATAAAAATAAATTAAAACTGTATACAACTACGGTAATGAAAACTTTTAACTAAGTTTGTGTATGTAAATTTTGAATATCCTTTTTTTTAACTGAAGGCCAAAGCTTAACCAAAACTGCGATCTAAAAAAAAAAAAATTGAGCCGTAAAAACAAACCGCAACCTTACAGCGTTCGTCGTCTATTTGTCGCTTGCTCTCTCCGGCCAAAAAAACCAAGTCATGTCGGCTCTGTGACTTTGTTTCGGTTTGTTAGTACGGGTATTCGGCACGTACGCCTTCTATACCTTGACTTCGCTCTGACCTAAACGAAACCTTAATTCTATACTATATTTATTACATATTAAAGAGTATTTCTTTCCTTGCGTAGTATAAAATTTACTAACAGTTAATCCACAATAGTGTTTGATATTAAATGGTGTGAGCATCTCCTAAGCACTAAGAATAGTAGGAGATCGGGTTTATATTTTTCCCCAAATTAGATTTGTAAACATTTTCATTGTTCCCTTTGTTGTATTTGAACATGTTTCAGTTTACGGATCTTGGCGCCTTGATTTATAAAGGTTAAATTCCATTTTTACAAGAACTACGTTAAAACGCCGATCCTTTATGACATTTTTTTTAAAGTTGTATGTTCTTAAAAGATGCACCGGTCAGCTTGATATACACTTAATGGGGTTAAGACATGCTATAAATAAAATATAAGAGAGCAATACTGCTAGGACCCATTCTCTGTTTCCAAAATCCCGTTTTTTTTGTTTTTTTTTTTAATGAGTCAAAAGATTTGTGTGTAAATCGATTTATGTGCGGGACCCCCGGATCCGCTCCAGTCGTAAATTCTGCTGTGTTTGTTTGGTCGGTGATATACGCCGCCCATTGCGTGGCGTCCCCCCCCCCCCCCTTTCACGCACTCGCAGACATGGCTCTTTCGGCGTTTCGCGAGTCACCTTCCACGCTTACCTTCCACGTTTAGGGCACGCGCTTCCGATGTGATGCCATATACGTCATCAGTGGCTGTTAAAACACTGATGACTTGTAAGTCATCAGTGGCTTCGTGGGAGTCTTCAACACGTATCGCAGCAGCGATAAGATTGATGTTCTCAGAAGATTTATGGGTAGTGTTGCTGGCCAGTTTGTTCTCTAGCTTTCCCGAGTTTCCGCGCTGCATCACAGATTGCTGAGATCGAGCCCGCCTCGAAGCGGACGAGCAACTCGGACAACTTGGAGACATGTGAAGCGGCAGCAGTCAACCAGAAATGCAATATTTTCACATGATACCCTTGTGGTGATGATAATGACAACTAAATACTCGGTTCTGGTTCGAAGTATAACGTTTTTAGGAAGGCATCGTTTCAGAAACATAAGTTAGTATTATCTAAGCCTTTTAGAGTTGTATAAACGTGTTCATAACCCGTAACTGTGTCTAAATAGCGCAAACAGATTAAAATGCAATGACCATTATGTATATAATAGCAATTCTCGACCAGTTCCAGCAATGACGATGAGATCGTAAGGGACGAACTCGCCGTCCCCCACGACGATCGCGCACGTGAATGCGGGGTGGAAGATCAAAGGGCAAGGGGACGAGAGCAAGTTTATACGTTGGAGTAGCCGAGTAGCGTGAGTGTACGATCGCCCTTGGCACGGCGAGCTCGGCCAGCATGGGGCGCCTTTACTGGTTAAGCGTTCAACTAAAAATCACGATCACGTGGTTTATGGGCACCGGGTGTAACTGGCTTGGGCAGTGTTCCCTGTTCCCGAAACGTAAATGCTCTACATTCGAAAATTAACTATGGCAATTACTGAACTCTAAAAATTGCGAAACTTGGTATATATATCAAGTAACTTTCAAGCATTCGATTTCAAGAACAATATGCTTGTTTAATTTCATGTCGTAACCCCTTTGGCGGTAATAATAATCCTAGACCCAGCCACGTTAATTGCAGTCTCGCGTCTTGGTACACTTGAGGCGTTAGGCTCAATCACGACTCAATTATTTAATGCACCAACAGCCCGTAATTATCACATAGTGAGATAGCAGATAAGGGGAAGTGCTGGCATTACCCGCTCTATCAGTGGTGGTCATTTATGATAGACGTCGTATACGCTTTTACCTAGATGTTGTCGTTTCCTGTGCCATTAAACTAGTGTCTCTGAGAAATCAAATTTTATCCTTTTTTTTATTCAGATGATGATAGCGGTGATGGAACAACAAAGGACCCATTTTGGACGAACGTGTGCAAAAATGGTATGCTTTTGCGGTGAAGGCGTTTCATCATGTTTGCCTCTTAATAGGATAGCGATGTGTAGAGCACGGTGTAAAGACTAGGGTCACGAACCGGTCATTAGGGAGTTTCAGAATAGTGGGCGGGGCCCCAAAATTTTGGTGCCTCTAAGAAATTAGGGGACCCTAACGGAAAAGGGTTCGCTCCGGATACTTATATAATAGGGTTTTCGCTGCGCAGCACGGCGCTCTTTCGTTTGCCGCTTGCAGACCCGATGCGGTACACAGCCTAATACGTAATAATAATAATAATAGTGTTAGACACACGTAAAGCATATGCGCTTAACAAATACTTTTTGCTTGCAAATAACAGTTAAAACCAAGTCCTCCCGGTTAAAAGAGGAGACAATCTAAAATCAGCATAAATATTGTTAGCCATTTTCAGCCAAAACAATCCAATCCGTAGCGCCCTAATCTGGTCCTCAGTCTCGGATAGTTTTAGGCATTCCTTGCCGCGTTGACCATGTGTCGACGATTATTCAAGCCTTCAACAAAGCTGAAACTGAGACGAACACGAGCCAGCATACTCTGCGAACAGCTGCTTTATTTAGATCTGCGCTAGAACTACTTGGAAGCCTTGGAAGACTCGGTTTTACGCTGCAGGTAACTTGTCACGAACGCTCGGCCTATTGAGCCAAGGAAATCCATTCGGAGTCTCGTAAGTAGCGAGACGTTGCCATGTCAACGGTTAGCGCGTTTCTTTAGGCTTAGGAACGGCCAGAATCAGAAGACGATCTTTGAAGTTGGCCGAGCTCAGCGCTCATTCCCCATGATTTGGGCAAGAGAAAGCGAAGCGAAAGCCTACTGCAACATTCACTGGCGATGAACGTGGCTAGTATGGCGCCGGCCATGACGAATTTGCTCTGAAGTGAGCGGAAAGGGTGCCACCATGTTTGCCCACGCAACCCGGCCTGAAGCAAATAGCGGTCCCACGCTATTTTTAGAATTTTTTTGGGGGCGAGCGCCAACCCAAGTCCCAAAATGCACTTTGGGCTTGGCGCATGCCCAATGGTGAGCCCTATTTCTCAGGAGACCCCAAGCTTTGGGGGCTTCCTATTCTTAAACTCTCTACTATTGCTGTTTAGTTTGGGTTCGGCTTCAGTAACTTTTCATTTTCTTCCGGTCCGGTTCCGGTTCTGTGATGCATTCCAAATCTTGATTCGGTTACCGATTTAAACAAGCGCAAGCAGGTTGAAACCGGTTTATAAATCTACCTTAGACCAAGGCAACCGTAAATTTCCTGCGCAAGACAAACAAGAACTTCACAGCTTCCAGTGGCTAAGAAAACAAAATTGCGGTAATCTCAGCGTCATCTGCATTGAGACTACAACGAAAAAGTGGTCGAGAGGTACAGTGCCGTGAGCCATAGAGTTATTATAATGTACGCCAGAGGTTCAACTGGCGCTAGTGTCTATGCGACTTCCGTGACGCAAATTGAAGCAGACAGCAACCAGTCTACTTTTGCGGTGCTCCTGTGCATTCCTATGGGAAAAAGCGCGTGCATTTTGTCTCTTCGCCGGAAAATAACATGGAACACTTTGGTTTTTTCGGTCGTACCGAATGATATGTGTCTTAATTAACATTGTAAAAGTGTAATTGGTTTGGTTAGCGCATTTTTCTTCATCAGTGAGCGATGTTTAACTTCGCTGCATTTCAGTTCCAAACGTGTGTTTCGCAGCAGGTGTGTAAAAACAAGCGAAGATTTAAAGCAAAATTACGATCGAAACGAATATAGAGTGTGTTCAAGGCTCGTTAGCATTCCGGTGACGCTTGTATATGGATAATATGCCAGTCCTGTCACCATATGAAAATCATCCCGTCGTGCATGAGCGGATAAAAACCTTCAGCGTAGAAAATAAAGTCCGTGGGATATGAAAGGTGTCTCTTCGTATTGTTTTCTCTGCCGCGCATATTTTATCGTGCATTTGTTCTCAAAGATGTCTAGCGCGCGGGTGATATTTTGAACGTAGAACACGCAGCTTTGCTGAGGACAGAAAAAATAAAGCGGTACTCACTTATTTAAAATCGGAACAGATCACGTGGCCTTCAATTTATTTTGGTCGTACATGCACTGCGAGTTACTGATCCGGTGTTGCTGCGTAGTTCTTGGCGCCGCTCTTGATTTTCCAGATGTCCTTCGTTCGTTTGGCATGTATATCCCCCATGCTGGAAATCGCCGACGCCGCGTTCGCGCCAACAGTGTCCGACAGTGCACATAAATACACGTACGAAGTCGTTTTAGCACCGTTTTTAGTGCGATGAATTTGAGAGAAAAACGCCGTGACCGACCAATTCTTTCATCGGCCTGACTACCTCACGAAAGCTCCAACCGTCACCCCGCCGAAATTTGGACTCGACCGGAGCACTGTATAAATACCACCCGCGTTCATCTGTAAAAGTTCTTCCTGACGAAGGCCGGAATCCGGCCGAAACGTCGAAGATTAAATCGTCCGTTGTTGCTGTTTCCAGTAAGGGTTTTTTCTTCTCAGTTATATACCCACGCCTTCGACCTCCCGCCACCATGCCCGTTATATATACATATATATAGATATTTCTTTGGCAGCATTTATAGCTCCAGTTCACTCGAACGAAATGTGTTAAAGGTATGCTAGGAAACATCCTCGTTTGCGAAGTTCGTGAAGAAAATTATTGAAGACCGTTGGGCATTCGGCATCTGAAACAGGATTAACTCCATTGTTAGTCAAATGTATTGAGCGCGATAATCCGATAGGAGAAATCAGTCGCCAAAGCATTTTGGGATTCTTCTTTAACATTGAAGGTAGGCCGAAACTATAGAATTTATCCTTGAAGAAATGGAAGCGTTCCATAGAGTGTTTTGCTCAAGTTGTATATTTTCCACAAGCAGTTTCAGAATTGCACCTCTTCGCTAACTTAAAAATTCTTTTTTTTTTTGTTATCCGTAGTTTTCAAGATTTTAGTATAGCATGGTTGATTGCTATTGCAGCGAATCAGAACACGTGGAACAAAAGCAACAACAAGCACCCGTAACGTTTTTTTTTTTTTTTTTAAATACACCCAGTTTTCGTGAAACGTGCGATCAATAAAGGTCCATCACGTAAATTTCACAAAATAATGAAAGTTTCACTCTAAGTTTGTTATAATTTGTATTCTGATAGTATAGTATAAACTTAGACGTAGCGACATTTGGTGCAGACGAAAGTGACTCGGTAATATGAGTCAACATGTGATCGCTAAATCTGCGAATGAAGAATGCAGATGTGGCAATGTCGGAGTCAGATGCAAGACAGATGTCAAGAACATTGTTTAGGCGCGTTGGTTGATCAATAATTCGAACGAAATTAAAATCGGCAAGTTAAAAAACACTATGCTTTTTAAGATGATGAACTTAAGGTTGACTAATCAACATTAGGGAAATTAAAATTTCCGAAAAGCAAAATGTTCCAGTTGGGAAAACCACTTCTAATACAGCTAACACCATCTGGAATTCGCCACAAATTTTTTCGTCACAATCAGGAGGCATGCAGCATACGGCAAATGAATACTATTTGAGTTTGATAATAAATCGATCCATAGGTCTTCTAAAAGGCTATTTACGTGAAAAACGTGTAAACACACGACTAAGTTTGTAGCGATTAACACCCCCCTTCCTTCTATCTAGGCGGTATCAACGATTGATAACAAAGTTAGAGATGGGGTCAAGTATTTCATTATCAGAATGTTTAAATTTTTGCTGCTTCTGAGTCAGCACCAGAACCTCTCTCGGGCTATTGGTTGAGAAAGCATTGATTTCCTCACGTTTGGGAAGAACGCTGTGTATGGTAGTGAAAGACGAAAACAGTATGTTCACGCTATGTGTTACTAGAAAATGAAGGCGGCGTAAGGTGCGTCTTATCCATCTTATATCTGAGCTTTTCAATTTCACCCATTCACTAAAGTAATGTGCGGTATAATGTTATTTGTGATTTCGTGCTTGAGAGATGAAAAAAATATATTAGAAATTCAACGAGTGCAGGACCACTGCTAGCCGGGCGGCACTAACGTGCATCACGCACTAGTGCTACATGACCGCACTCTGGTAGGATGCTCGTAGAGATCAAAGCGGACATGGGTGGGGATGGAGTCCAGGATCATTTGGTCTGATAAATTTATCGCATGCCAGCCAGCGCACATGTGATGGTGCGCATAGTGGTTTTCCTGAAAGATGTTTAAGAGTTATGGAACTATCCGCAGAGATAGCTTCGATGTGGTTATTGAAGGAAAGGTCCGATGTTAGTCTGACGCCCAGATATCTATACAAAAGAACGGAATCAATCAAATTATAATCGAAGCAGTACTGATAGGATAGGATGAATTTTTTCTAGTGAACTAGATTAGCTTAAATTTAGATATATTTTACGGCATCAGCCACCTCTTTAAATCATTTGTTAATTTTTGTCAAGTCCTCCTGAAGATTAACGTTATCGTGCACACATGTGGCCTTATTAGAGACGACGCAGTCATCTGCAAATATATTAAAGGGAATGGATGCACAAAAGGTCGTTTATGAAGGCCCCAGAACGGACCCCAGAGGAACACTAAGTCGCGATACTTGATATGGCAGATTCGTGATCATTTGTAACCAAGTACTTAACGCGGAAAGAAGGAAAGTCACGTGTCCACGAAAAACCAATGGTTCAAGACGAAGGGATGCAAGTTTAGAGAGTAGACAATCATGAGGTACCCAAACAAAAGCTTAAAAAATCTAAGAGAGCGGTGTCCGTCAGAGCAGGACACACAAAGTTAGTATGTAGGTGATTAATGAAGTGACAAATTTGCGTATCAAAGGAAAGACCCTTTATAAATATATGTTGCTGTTCAAAAAAATATATTGGTTGTTAGGTGAGCCATGATATAAGAGTAGAGTTTATGCTCAAGAAGTTTAGATGAGACGTAAGTTAAGGATATCGGATGATAGTTGGAGATAGATGAGAGACTTCCCTACTTGAAGACTGGGATGACCTTGCAAACCTTCCAGTCAGAAGAGAGGCAGCTCGCGAAGACAGAGTGACTTTAGTTTTATTTCAAGAGCTCGCCAGAAATGATGAGAGTATTTTTTTTTACAATTATTGAGGTGATGTTTTCGGGGCCAGCGGACAATGATAGTTTCAGTTTAAAAATGAGTGTCTGAATACCGGGTGCGTTTATACTGATGGGAGACATGAGTTCGTAAGGCAGCTCGGGGAGAGTGAGAACAGTGTCCAAGCACTCGTTAATAAAATTAAAGAAAATATTCGTTAAAACTGGAGAGCAGTCACTTTCTGCTATCTGATCACTATTGTCGCGGCTTGGTTGGATGGCAGGGTCAATTCTTTTTGGTAACACAAAGTTACAACCTTCCTCTGGTTACTCTTTAAGATGAACACTAAGTCATGAAAGAATATTAATTATAAGCCAATTTCAGGTTTTTTGTAGCTTTTAAGGGCAAAGTTATTTGCATCCAATGCTTAAGAGGTGTTGCCATGTTTAGCCTTTGAAAAACGTTTCTTTGTCTTGTTACGCAAAAAGAGCAGCGTTTTGCTGAACCATGAACTACTTGGATCGTTCAGTACACAGGCTGTCGAAAGAAACATATTTACGTGATCGTTCATATAAGTTTTATACAATGACCAGTTTTCCTCTGCTCATCTAAAATGAAAATTTGCAACGTATGTTCAAAAACGATTGCCAAATCATGTTCTATTGATTTTTAAACAGCCTCATTATAATCATAAATTATTTTGGGAATAGAATGTTTGACGAAAACGGGGTATGACAGGTTCTCATGTAGTAGCCTATAATCACTTAGTACGTCGCTAATTGACTTGACAAGGGCCGGTGCCGTAGATAGTATTAGATCAATGATGTTATGAGGACGAGTCAGTTGATTAACTAGCTGTGTGTGGTTAAACATAAGACACATATTTTGAAACTGTGCAAAAGTGGTTGAGTCTTTGGTTGATAGATGCTTCCAGTAGATTACAGGAAAATTTAAATCGCCAAATAGTAACATGTCAGCTCCAGGAAAAGAACCTTCATAGCAGCTAGAACAGATGACTGCTCAGTATGAAATAACGAAGTAGAATTTGGTGGCCTATAACACACGCCTATTACAACCTTATTCGGTGACGCAGAAACACATATGTCATTAAATTTCAACCCATGATATGCTAAACAGATATGAAAAGAAGATATAAATCTCTTTACTGCGATGAACCAACCCCTGCCCCTCTGGTCTTGTGGGTTATGCCGAAAAACGTTATAATATGAATTGCTCAGAAAAAGCATCTTATCTTCAATATCAGGTTTCACCCTAAGCTTCTGTGAGGATAACTGAGCCTGATTAACTCTTCTCAAGTATGCTATAAAACTCGTAAAGTTTTGGCGTGAAGAGGGTGGAAATAACTTGATTTTTACCGCGCACAGCAGTAGCTTGAGAGCATGGCGGTAATACTTTGTTTTTATTACATGCACGTAGCTATGACACTTCAACTACAGTTTCAGACACCGAGTGAAAGACGAAACGTTTGTTTCGTCTTTGACCCGGTGTCTGAAACATAAGGTTTCTTGAAACAAACCTTAAACGGTTCGTTCATACTCTTTCAGTACCCAAAACGTTTGCTGCGGGCAAGTGATACAAACGCAAAAAATTCCTCGCGCACGGCATAAGGTGTGTCTAAGTTTCAAACCGGGCACTAAATTGCTTTGTTTGTTTTTGAAACGGGCCAATTTTGCGATGATTGGCCTAGGTTTCTCCGGCTGGAATTTCCCTAGGCGGTGCAATCTTTCCAGTTTAGAAGGGTCAAGCTGTACTGCTAGGTTTTGAACTCAAAACTTGATAACTTTATCTTCTGATTGCCCCACGTTTTTATGCGATTATCTAAGCAGTCCAAAAATGAACAATTAGACCGTCTAGGCCTATATTCATTGCAATGGCACTGTTTTGTATTATTTGCTAAGTCGACTTGCATATTTTAATCAGATGGGGTCACAACTGTAATATTCATCCCGGCCAACCTTCTTTCCACAGCACCTATCCTGGAAAACAACTGTTGAACCGATGCGTCAGTAGCATTTTGATTGTTCTCTAAGGACACGAATTCGCTAGCATGTCTGACTGCGCAGCCTCCATTCGTTGGAGAGCAGCCAGAATAAATGAAAATTTCTTTACTGTCGGTTAGAGGCCCCGGGTTCGTTTCCACGTCTCCAGACATAAACAAAATAAACCTAAACACGTAAGAGAAACACAAACAGTAAGAACGTAGCCATTTCTGCAAACGCAGGTCGTAGGGGCACGACATCGCAATCAAACTCAATTCACTTCTTTAGTAACTAATAGGTGTTCATTCAGAATAGGTGTTTCATCGACATTTGTCTAGCGACCCCGGGCCCCAACTGGCCGTCATCATGCTTCGCTTTTGTAGCCATCTTTTGATGCAAGTAGAATGTGATCTTACGGAGCTTGAATGTCGCCATATGCTGATGTGGACGGTCCCTGCTGGGTATAGTGGGTGGCGATAACACTCATGTTTTTCCGTGACACCCTCGGCGACTATAGGTGACTTGTCCAAAGGCACGAGATAACCGTGCGGCAGATTTCCATGTGCGATCGTGAAAGAGCAGCGGTCAGCAGCGCCTGAGGAAAGGAGAAGGGTTATCTCCCTGCTTGTCTAGCGACGTCGTGCCTCCTTATTTTCAGGATGAATTATAAAAATCCATTTTCAAATATTGCTTATGTTGTGGCAAGTAATAAAAATAAAAGCATACATGAGAGACAAAACGTGACATTATGTGGACAGTACTGATAATGGATAGGACTTTATAGCCGAGACATTATCTACACGTTTACAGTTCAATCATTCAATATATATAGTGCGATGTCCCGGCGTTAATAACGCAGACTGTTCACAAGTCATCCCCGCTGTAACCACGTTAAAATCAGCGCATATGAACCGGGCACGGCTTTTAATGGATTCTGCAGTCACAATATACGACTAAGCTGTAGTGCGGTGTGAGATGTGGCACAACGTGAACTATTTGGTTAGTGTGTCTTCTGCTTAATGCTTATTAGTAGAACATTCCGTCTTATACAACTCGTGATATGTGTTTTGTGATATGGACGCGCACCTACGAGGCTGCGGAGTATGTGTTTACAGGAAATTCTCAGAACACTCGATATGTTTACGCAAAGTACTGCAAATACCTCAATAATACTAACTATTGTAGAAAAGGCAATAACTAAAAGCCACGCCACTAAGAGCAAAACACACGAACGGCTAACCCAGGTAGCCATCATTGACTAAGTTAACTACTTCCATTGAGATTCTAAATCAGAATCCACGTGATTTCCCATCTGTATCTTGAGTTGGGGAGGAGAGTTAACTCGGGTTATATTTCCCTCTTATTAAGACGTCAATTCTCTGAAACAAAAACAAATTCTACTTAAAGGTTCAATGAACGCTGACGGTTAGTCACATTAGCTATTTTGAAACATCTCAAAACTCATTCTATGGCCCCTTGAATTTATTCTTCGGAAGTCTTGTTGCACATAAACGCATTTTAAATCTGTTCTTCGTGTGCATTTCAATTTGAAGGCAACACTTTAAACACGTCAACGAAAAATAATATAGCCTTTAATTAAAGGTAAATTACCATAACCTACTAGAAAAAATGCAGCAGGAAGAGATAATTAATTAGCTGTAAGACATTGTAAAAATAATTGTACGCAATATTGCAATTTTTCTCAAAGCTTGTTTACTCTTTCCTTACTTTCAAAACTCATGAGTCAGAGCCCACTTTATATCACTTTAAGTTTTGCGACATTTTTAACATTCCTGATTTTCAGCGCATCACCACCACATGGGAATTACCATCGTAGCCGATTCGTTATTTCAAGAAGTACAAGCTGAAACTGGTTTCGATCAGCATTTGTATTTACAAACATTTATTGAAACGGTAAGTCGCACGTGAGAAACTGATGAAATATTCCATAGTGGTTTGCTACCTAACACCAACTTAAGTGATAATCAAAGTGTTCTTGAACTTATACTGAACCCAGAGGCCTGATGCTTGAACACGAACCTGTGCGCAAGGTAAATAAAGCACGGCATATCCAATAACATTAAGCACGGAACGTCACAAAAAGGCAAATTTTATGACGATTTAAAGTCAAGAACGCGCTGTCTCAACTTCTTTAACGTTTCACTCGTCGGATTTTGATTCATCTTTGAAGCTATAAACGTGCAGCGTCGATGTTTGGCCCAAAGACAGTTTATCTCGCGTCTCCTTTATAAGCGAGATAGGCTATGGTGTGTTGACGGTAAAACCGCAGTCGAGAATATAGGGATTTGGTATTGTTCACAAATACCGGCAATACTTCAGTACAAATATAAGTCGCGTTTTGATATTAATTCCTTCGCTGTCACGTAACATACCGACATCACTCCAAATAAAAACCTTTATCGTCCCCACTATTATGCAAGCAATCTTTACATAGACTGGCGTCAGAAGCTAACCTGGATGATAGGAGAGACAATGTAATAGTCCTCGGTTGTCAGAATAAAACTGTTACGGGTATTTGGTTTTCGTTGAGGCGACATAATTTGGAGGCGTGGCTTTGTTCTATTCTAACAAAGCTTTGGTCGTTAGGTGATTTCATGAAAACTTATATATGCTTTGGTGTCGTGCGTATAACACACTCAAGTACTTATGCTCGCAGATGACGTGAAGTTGTTTCAGCAGGTCACCTCAATCACTGACTGCACTTCGCTGCAGAACGATCTTCGTTCAGTGGTACAATGGTGCAGTTTTAACAATCTTCTCTCAAATCCCCCAAAACAAAAAGTTACCTTGCTGTGTAGAAAGCGTAACAATGTATTCTATGTATATGTTCTGGAAAATAAAACTATCTGTCAGACCGCGCAGTTGCGAGATCTGGGTGTTGTTGTGGACGACCACCTATGTTTTTTTTTTCTTATGCAAACTCCATTATAAGCCAGTCGTTACGTAAGCTGGGTATAATGTCTCGCTTAGCTAGACCATTTATAACGCATCGCTCTCTTTTGAAATTATACACTACCCATGTGTGTCCGAAACTAAAATTTGCATCTGTTGTGTGGATCTCCATCTCTATAACAACAAGTTAAAGTATAGAATATGAGCAGAAGCGAATTGTGCGCATCATTTAAGACATATATTTTGGAAGAAAGTGTTTCTATGACAATAATTCAATTTGAGCAAAATTAACATCGTGCACCTCATATAAAAGTAGGTCTCTCCGGGTTGTTCAGTTTTCACATAGGCTAATTCATAATTTAAATAGACTGCCCTACTCTCCTCAGGCCTGTTCAATTTTGCATTCCATTTAGAACAAACTCTAGAAATCCAAAAGTATTTTACCCAGACCTCATTCGAAACACATCACCGGTTTCACGTGTCCAACATGTTTTAAACACGCAATTAACTGATGTCGATATATTTAGTATTAACCTGTCTTTTGGAGAACAATAATTTTGATGCATGTGTTTTTACTTGGCATATAGACATGCTTGTGCGCTTGCATATTTTTTACACAACTTTCTATTTTGTGTGTATTTCAAGTGTGCGTGTTTTTACCCCAGTAGGCCTTTGAGCTGTTGGTTACCACAAGGAAAAAAATAAACATTAGTTTGATTTGCTTTGATTTCATTAGGTGGACGTGTGCTACATTGCTGCCCGTATTGATTATGACATTCGGCAATCTGTTTTGATGTCCTAGCATATATCTTTGCTTTCTTTATTTACTGAGTTCATGAGAAAAAACATCGACATTTATCTTTATCCGATAAATTGGTGTTCAGGGGTAGTTTTTGATGATGTAATTATAATATCAGTGAAGGCGACCTGTTTTAGTTTCGTTGTCAATTTTTATGGATTTAGACATCATATTTGGGTCACATAACAAAACTAAAAGCTTGTGACTTAACTTTTTAACTGCACAATGTTATTACAAATGTCTGTTCAAGGCGATTTCCAACAGGTTTGATTTGTTTTTCTCTTTCCTGATTTGAAGACAACTGTGTGGTTACTTAATTGGTGTGAATATTATTTATTCTTAAAGTGCAAAATGTTTCGCTTCTTTCTGAAAACTAAAAATAAACGTTTATATATTTTTGCTAAAGAATTCCAATTTTATTATAAATCGAAACCTCTATACAACGGCCCGCTTATTTAGTTCTCTCAGAAGCATCCATATCAGAAGAAGTCTACTGGAAAAAGCAAACAACTATTCTTATAAGTATTAATCCATGCCTAAAATAATATAAAATTGAAACACTCTAACGAGAAACAGTAAAACAATGAAAATGGAGACGTGCTTCAAAAATGTGGATATCAAAAACATCTTACATGTTGGCTATCCCTCCGACTACTTTATGTACACTGTGTATGTTGGTGACCGATCTGTGACAGAACAGACTTTACACTTGCATTTTAAGGAAGGCAGGTGATTTTATATATTACATGTGTTATTTTAGAAACGCTTGGGATCTTGGTCTTGTATTACTGAAGTTGTTGGTTTCTGCGTGTACGGTGCTTTGGGAAGCGTGTAGTATTTTTTCTTTTACTTTATAGGTATTGTGTGTTTTCTTTTGTATATATATGTACCTTTATTGCAGCTGCTTATTTGCTAATTAGGCGGCATGTTCAAAAACGTCTTCTTTTTTGTTTTTAGCCTTATGTCCTTTTTGACTTCGGCAACACCTCCAAGAGAAGTAAGAGTATTAATATGTAAATGAATAAATAGATATAAGAAACATATAGATTTTTGACGCGAGTTTTCTAGTGGTCGCTGCCTTAGCGTCTATGAGCATATTGGATGGCTTAGGTCATGGGGCGTGATTTCGACTTTGGTCCAAATAACCGTAATCTGGAAACAAGTTATACATATATCTTATTAGAGGCGTTTGATTTCATTTTCCAATATCCGGGAATGATATCTCGTAAAACATTAAGTTTCATTTGCTCAAGAAGAAACATTATAATGCATGTCTTGAACCATTGCTATTCTGTTTCATAAAATATGGAAGCGTGTATGAAGTCAGTAAGAGATATACATGGTCTTGCCGTAACAAGTGTTTAGCTTCAGACATGTCAAAAAAGGTTAAAATGAATACCTCTGGAGATTTGGATGTTTATGCAACCGCATTCATGAGGAGGAAACTAACGGTTTGCTTCCGTGAGAAGGTAGGCGCTTGTACAACTTATCTGCTCTCATCCTTAGGTAGAACAAACTATATTTGTATAGTGCCGATACTGAGTGGGTGACTAATTGCATATCTATATAAGGGGTTTTGAAGATGCTCTAGTAAACTAGGGGGCATCCCTGTCGTCGATTTATTTAATTTTGTGTTTCTTTTATTTCATTCTCAAAAGCGTATGTACGGCTTTACACAAGGAGGGGCATTACGTAACATAAATAAAAGACAAATAAGAACAATATACAAATATAACTAACATAAATACTATGACATACATGAACAAAAATATTTTAACACAGTTCAATTTATGGTGTGCAAGCAGTGCGCTCACAAATATTGTCCCGATCAGACATAGCCAATTTTAATTAAGAAACTTCAACCGGATAATGCATTGAAGTAAGCAGTTGAGTTCTTAGTGAGTGGTCTGTGGGAGTATAGATATCGAAAGGCAAAAAAATATAAATATTCCGTTCATATAAATGGTATATTTTGTGTAGACAGACATCATATTTTCGATTGTGTTTAAAATATGGAGGTTTAGGTCAGCGTTCTTTGCATTGATTTTAGTATGAAGGATGAAAATCAGGAACGATTAACCGAAAGGCCCGGTTTTGAGAAGCTTACAGTTTTCTGTCGAATACACAACTGATGTGTATTGGAGCTGAGACCGGGCAAGGCTCGTGTATGCCAGTGTCCAGAAGGCTGTGGGTCGTGACCCCAAAGGCGTTCACTGCAGACTTAGTGAGGATAACGAAGCGTCTCGCGAACTTGAAAAATACAAACTTGATTTTCTTACGGTGGTGTCGATAAAAGCAAAACACAGATCGCCCCTAAGCACTGAACCGTGGCCTGAATGTTGACGTATCTCTGTTTAAACTCAGCCCTCCGTTTAAGAAACTATGCTCTAGAAACGTACTTTAGTCATTAAAAACCAATGTAACCTATTTAGCCCTTTTCCCGCTAAATTTAGCGGTTTTCTTTTTTGTCTAGCGAAAGTAATGTTGTTTTGCGGTTGCCAAAATGTTTAGGGGTCTTGAAATAAACTTAGCGGTTTTTTTTTCTTCAGGACGTCTAAGTTTTTCTCCAGTTTACCTCTATCAATCATAAAAATCTTAACTTCAGCAGTAAGTTAAAGCCATGGGGTCGTCATCTTTGGTTCTTTTCAATGAAATCTTTTCAAGCGAGAATGACGCTCGCGACGCCATTCAGGTATTACTTTGGACAACATTCAACGTGCTTTGAAGTGGCTTGGCGTCAATGTATAAATTATTGTTTAACTCTGCCATATTACTTGGGCCCAGTGATCTATGCACAAAATTTAAAAAAAGGCGGGCTATATGCTGCTAAATGCTTGAGACGTGTTGCTGGAAGTCCCAAGCGATGTCAGAAGAATCGGATACATTATGTGAAAAAAAGAAACATGTTTCTCCAAAAAAAGTGAATTTAGCTGCTGAAGTTCTGAAGAGCCACCATATATGGCACAAAGAACTATAAATAAAGAGACCACGTCGGCAGGTATGACCAGACAGCACACTCCGTAACATCTGGTATCAGTAAGGTAATGGTATGAATATTGTTCTAGGGACTGAAACACTCTGAGTGAAACAGAAGAGCACCTTTTCAAGGGTGTATTTAATATGCAGTTTTGAAACTAATTATAGGAGAGTAAACTTTCACTGTTATTGATATCCGTCCTAAATTTAAAGGTTTCTTAATGGT